ATTTCAAATACCACTCAAATGCCTTTTTTTCATCCTTGGCTGTGCCTATGCCATTTCGGTAGCAGAATCCAAGGTTAACTTGTCCAAACGAATTGCTACCTTCAGCAGATTTCAAATACCACTCAAATGCCTTTTTTTCATCCTTGGCTGTGCCTATGCCATCACTGTAGCAGATTCCAAGGTTAACTTGTCCATCCGAATTGCCACCTTCAGCAGATTTCAAATATAACTCAAATTTAGCCTTTTTATCCATAAAATATAACTTTTAAATTCAAAAAGTCCAAATAATTGATTGTATATTTTATCATAATAATTCGTATTGCACTCTCATCCTACTGCGTATAATATATATATATATGCGTACGTATGTACTACGTACATTGAAAAAGGAAAAATGACATCCGGGTTAGGTTACGAGGGTTGCACAGCAATAACTATTTTGCTTTAAATAAACTTTAATATTGGAAGGCTTCGATCGAGGTATGGAAGATTTGGACGGGGAATTAATGTTCTAAGTCTACTGCGGCAGGAAAGAGACTTTTAGTATTCTTGGTCTTATTAGTTGAATTCTAATATTTTTTAAAGCTTTTCCATATTTCCATTTACTAATACAATGCTACATATTTCTCAAATCAGTTAATTACTAACTCAAACTTGAATTTTGATTCATGATTATCATGTGATTCTAGCAAACTACATCTAAACAGCAATATATTTTTTTACGTAATCACTTTTGACATTTTAAAAAAATTATACATTTTCATAGTTTCGATAGTGGCAAACCATTAAAATTAGCCAAGTAAATTATAAAATTTTATTTCAAAAAGTTTTTATAGCTATATAAACATATACAGTAGTAAAAAAATTTAATAATATTCTGTAAATTATTATATAGTTAATTTTATGATAATGGATTATTTTACGTGGATGATTTGTGTAATGAGTTTATTGATTCAAATTTTCATACTGATCGTAACTTTGTATTTTAAGCAGAGCTTTACAAAGTTGACAATTTTCAAGAAATAATTAAACAGTACGTATGATGGTAGTATAATCCTGAGAAAATTTGATCCGATTCATATGACTTTGGGTACAGATTACGCGAATGATATAGCATTTATTACATAAAAATCAAGGTACATTTCAAGTACCTTCAGTACCTGTTGAGATGTTCGAGTCGGTTAAAATCCATGAAACAGCCATGCATCGATACGGACGAGAACCTCTTTTGTACTTGGTAGCAACGTATTTTTGTCTGAAATTAGGGTTTCGTTGATTTGATTTTCATTAAGTGTAATTGTTGAAGGGACAGGGGAGAGACTTGACATGTTAAACGTGATCACGTTATGTTTGGTTCGTAGAGGCCAAGTATTTGCTAGGATTCACATGAGCTTATGCATTTGATAAGTTCAAAACTGCGTTAATTTTCAAACAGACATACTACAAATCATAAGGGTGAATTTTTATTATGCTAATTCATCATTTAAGCATTGATCATTATGAATAGTATATCTTTATCAATTCTTTTTTTCGCTAAGTTCCACGTATTGTTTTAATGCTCAAGATAAACCTGTATTTCTTTTCTTCTTTGCTTCTTTATTGCCTACACTTATCTATGCTCACGACTGATAAATGTCTGTTTATGACAACAAATCTATATTAATGTAAAACTACAATGATTTATTTTGATGTCAAAAAGTGATTAGCTTATTAAAAAAAATATTTCCTTTATGAAATTTTTTTTTATCTAATACGTATATATATTTATATATACTGTATACATTAAGTATATTTCAAATTTTTAGATTTTTTATTTTTTAAATAACACAAAAGTTTATTACATCTTCTACGTATTAGACATCTTCTGGTTGCTGTATTTATTAGTTAGTAAATTAAAGATATAAAATATAAGATAACACATCTCAATTTTATATATAAAAATTGTAAATATGGTATGAGTGGTCTATATATGTTTTACTCATAGAATGTTTTTTTAAAAAAACTACCGTACAACATGGTCTAAAATCCCCGGGATACTTTACAGTTATCTGCATATATAGGTATTATAGTCAGAAGAATACTATAGTTAGCGTGGGAGATATAGGCTGCACTATATGAGTGTCGCCGAGGGAAAACCTGTCGTTGGACTTTCAATTATAACTGTCGATTTAATATACTTTTTAGGCCTTTAAAAGTTGTGAGGGGTATTATACTAGGGGGTCTTTCAGACCACGCTGTACGGTAATTATATAGTATCCCCTAAACCGTTTTCAGGCAAATTTCATAATTGATCTGTGATTATGCTATTAAATTATATTGAAATTTGCGTTGTAAACTTAATTAATTTGGTTATTCTAAAAGCTAAAAACCGAAATTAATTATATTTTTGTATATTTAATAATTTTTACATTATTTAAAGCCCGCATGCACGTAGGTACAATAAAGGCATCACGTCAATTAAATGAAAACAGTATAAATTATCTATATACTAATTATCGTAGATAACTTAAATTGATCATATATTAATGACAAAAATTATTGTGAGGTACTACTGTAAGATGAGGCAATGATTAGTAATCATAAAAATACTAATTGACCTCACGTTAGAACCAACCTTATGTTGGTTCTTTACAATTATTGTGATTCTAAGTTTAATTCGAATGTAGCCTAAATCGACGGTTTAAGGGATATTAAAAATGCTAGAGTTATTAAAAAAACCTTTTTATAAAATTTGGATTTAACACAAAATTCTGACAGCAAAAATCTCGACAATTAAATCCCAATAGTATAGAATCACGATCTCTATATTGTAAACCTGACAGTATCAATACTCAAATCCCACGAGCCTAGCATTCCCCTAAAAAAAAGTCACATCAGCTGCTAGTTGTTTAACTAATTTGATTTGTCAGATGCGCGACCACATGATTTATACGTATTATGTAATTTAATTGAATATTAAATCGATTAGTTGCAGCTTCCTATTGATCGATTTTCGATTCATATACTCACTAGCAACGGATTTGATTCACCAACCTAATTTTTGAATATCCAAGATATAACTACATTAATTTATTACTTTTTAGATTAGATGAATATTCCCCAAATATGCATTGTACCGATTCTATATAAGGATACTAATTAATAATGAAGATTTTGAGCATTATCGTTATATGCAGTGCTAAACGGTAAATTTAAACAAAATTTTATCACATGACTCGATGGTCTAGCGCGCGAGATATGTCTTGCGTTACAGTACAAACTCAACATATCGATATTTAATATATATATGTTAAAGCATATTCATAGTTATAAAATGCATTAAATTCTATTTTTATTAATAAAGTATTTAAGGACTATGTATCTTAATAAACTATATGTAGTATATATTTTTGAAATAGTCTAAATCTTATTATTATACAAAATTAATAACAGAGAAATGCCCATTAATATTAAAGAGATTGATAATAAAAAGTTTTGACCGTATTAAAAGTATTAAGCAAGAAAAAGAATAAAATTTGACGAAAAATCTAAAAATTGATTCACACACAGTACGTATAATACAGTATGTAGGTTATAATGAATTCATATTTAAAATTGGACCATCATTATCAATTTTTTATAAAAATATATACTCTATTATGTAAGGATTCCGAAAACAATCATGACACTTAAAAATCCAAATTCTAACATAGATGACGTTTGACTACTTGGGTCTGCCGCCGAGGTAGCAATAGCGGAATCAGTGCTACCATTGTTGCTTGATGATTGGTCAGAAGGTTGGGTTTCATTAAGTCCAGTAGGTGCAGCGGGGGGTACAACGGGTGCACTAGATGCGCCAGTAGCGGTAGCTGCGGCAGGAGTTGCGTTAGAAATAGTCATTGTGATGGCGGTGGTTTTTACAGCATTTTCACTAGGTGTGAAATTGACGACTTTTGCAATAGAGTTAGATGCTTTAGACGATTTAGACAATTGAGAATTAGATGGTTTAATTTTAGAGCCAACTGAGTCTGCTTTTTTGGTTGATGATTTCTAAATGCAAATGAATATAAAAATAATTAGATGACAGATATATTTGATCAAGAGAAAAAAAGAAAAAAAAAACCAACTTTAGAGGACTCTGCAGTATGAGTTGGTGCTTGTCTAACCAACAAGGGTACTTTTTTTCTAATACTATTTAAATCTCTCTGTTTGTGTTTTAACCCATTTTTATCAATTGAAGCTTGACAGGAAATTGTAAATATGGCCATGCACACCACCAAGCATAAAATCAAATTAAATCGCATTTTTTTCAAATTTGTAGAATGATTAGATGAGACGATTACTATAGATCGAAAAAGTACGTACGTAGAGAAAATACAAAGTATTTATATAAAAAAAATTCGAAGGCATAATAAGTAAAATAAAATTCTCTTAAATAACGGTTGATACAATGCGCATGTATGCGCATGAAGCGTTAAATAAAAGATGATCTCATATCACAACACGAGTCAAATTACTAGCTGTTAAGGTAATATTTATAATTAATACTCGAGTCTGAATTCACACAAGAAAAATTATCGAACCAGTTATGCTGCTTAATCAAAAAAAACAAAATTTTTTATTTTAAAAAACATTTGCAGATTTGACATTTATAGTAAGAGGACTAGAGTTAGCATTCAAAATATATCGACATATATACTTTGACATTTGATTCACAAGATTAATTACAATATATACCAATATATACAAATATGTATCAAATTTATTTATTACAACATATCGATATAATTCCGCAATGCTTTAGAATGATCACTTAAATCGAGCCGACATCCAAAAATACCGTAGTGCACTGACAGTGCACTTAATTACGTACGTACGTACGTACGTACGTATGTACGTAGACCCCGTGTCTTTAGTCGGTGCACTACAGCACATCGATGCAGTATGTTACCCAATCATTTATACATAGCGATAGTGATGACAGGCAATACGGATTCTATTAAATCCAGATTGAATCCGCATTAGATTACATATAAAGCTGCTTTGTAGCACATCCTTAGGTTCGTTATTTAAATTCTTTGACCAATCCGAGTAAAAATCTCTGATCTGGATATCGATATCTGAATCTATCTTGATTTAAAGTTCAATTCAGATAGTCAGATTAAGGATCGAAGCTCTAGTGATGATGATTTTATAGTTAACGTCTCTTCAAGAACAATATCTATTGAGAGTAAAAAAATAAAATATACCAGAAAACAAAAGAAACAGGACATGCCTCAAAATAGTGAATATGATATAGTTATTGATATAAAATTGGACATTGTTATTAAATATTATTAACCTTTAAAATTCGACAAAAATTTAAATCACTTATAAAATATATACTTATTTACAAATTCAATTTGTATATTAGGCCACGTACGTACGTACGTACATAAAATTGGTTCTCATCACCCGGCCGGGTGATTTTTTTATGTTAAAATGTTTTTTTATAATCGTAATACAGTAATAATTGTGATATCTAGCATTAGGGTTGTTAATGGAGTGGCATACTCCGGAGTGAGCCCAACCCAAGTTGGGGAATAGTTCAACCCAACCCACCCCAACCTATTAACGACCCTATCTAATATCGATATGTAAAAGCTACTAATTCAGTCACATGATACAATTTAAAGATACACAGTATATCGATATTGTGTATGTACTCAATGCAATACAATGATAATTCGAATGTTCGTTAAGATCAACATTCTTGATTCCACTCTTCTTGCCGACTGGTGTATTAACAATGACCTTGTTACGGTGTAATTATAGGTGATATAGGTTAGGGCGGTTCAAGTTTTTAAATTGATAAGTATAATACTGTAAAGGCGAAAGTTGTAAGAATGACATCGTGTAGAATTCACAAAACTTGTGTAGATAAAAAAAATTTTTTGAACAAATTCGGAAAAAATTTGGATTGTAATTTTTTTTTTTTTGAGACTAATTCAAATATCATTAATATTAACCCTAGGTCGCTGCGCCATATTGACATGAACTAAACAGTACTAATTCGACTATCATATGAGTGCCGTCAAAGGAAAACCTACAATCTGGCTTTCAATTATATTTTGTGCACAGTTGGCCACGTACGTACCGGAAACTTTTTTGTGGAGGTTAGTAACCTAACGATAAATCAGTTATCATCCGCAACCTAACCAATAACAAGTACAAACTCGTTATTACATCAATGGCATTCATATCGTAAAGCAAGAACTGACGTATCATAATACAACAAAATCACATGAAAACGCTATCCAATCAGATTTACGTATTCGGATACACCCTTTCACTTGCCACTTAACCATGCACTTCGTTGCACTCCGTTCCTGGTATCGCTGTTTCATATTGATGCAACCCATGATAAAATTTGTAGATCGCTGCATGCCAATTGTTTGATTGCAATCGATTGTACATGATCGTAGCGATTTCTCAGCAACTATGATCAAATTCGATAAATTTTTTTTTTAATCTGAATTTTATGAATCTGTAGAATTCAAATAAAAAAAAATTCATCGAATTTGATCAGGTGGTTGCAGAGATATCATTGCTCAAAGTTCTAGGAAAATTTGGCGCAGCTTCTATTGTTGAAAGTGCCGAAATTCACGTTTTTACCACGTTTAGCATATTAACCAATCAATTACAAGATTTTGTGGACGTACATCATTAAAAATGCCATATAACCATACTTCGTGATATTTACATATCACTCTGTTCCTGGTATAACCATTTACATATCACGCACGTTCCTGGTAAAAATGATCTGCAAAATTTGTCGATCGAAAGAACGATAATATCATATATGGGTCATGGACTAGGAAAACCCATGTCTGACGCTTTTTTATCAATTTCGAGATTTTTGATTCAAAAAAAGTTTCAGTTCCTATTGAGGGGTTTCAGAATTAAAAAAAAATAGCGTATTTCGAAAATAAGTAGGAGCTTAAAAAATCATTTGTATATCAAAATTTTGAACTCGGAAAATGAAATGGGAGTGTTTAGAGACTCCCATTTAACGAAATAAATAAACTTTTCAACGACAAAAATCATTATTACAAATTTATCGGAAAATGAAATAAAATCGATACATCGCTCATTTGTAAATAAATACGTTATCTATTTCTGTCAAAATTAGATTTCCGCACGTTAATTTTGAAACCCCTCATTTGTATATATTTCAATTTTTACCCTATATTGATATAATAATTTATCAAGATACGTATTTTAACTTGAAACGGTTGTGTTCTAAAAATAGATTAACGGCTAATGGTCGACGGCTCAATTATATCTGGGTTTAATCATTAGATTTAATTGTTAAATCCAGATATAACAATTAGATCCAGATATAAGTATAATATCTGAATTTAAATATGCAGGCACATTAACTTTGTCCATTCACGAATTTGGTTTCAGATGTACAGGGATAATACACCTAGGTCATGATGTCATTGTTAAATTAGAACTGGATTTAATAATTAAATCCGGATTTATGATTAAATCAGGTGTTAAAACAAGGGAGAGACTTTCAAATCGTAATGCCAATTTAAAAGCGAACAGTAACAATAGAGCAGAAGGAATTCTTATTTATTCGATTGGAGCACAGAATTACCTTTTTTATTTACCAAGAATAACCCTCTATTTATATTGCCTATTAGACTCTAATTAGCTATTATGCAAAATGTAAAGTATGAGCTAATTCTACAAAATGTCGTAATGATCGACAAAGTATAATATAGTAATTACCGTTACTTCATTAATTGCAAGATAAGTTATTATAATGATACACAAGAAAAAGTATAATGTAAACTTTGTACGTCATTTTTCGCAACACCGGATATCCGGATATAAATGATTAAATCCGAATCCAGGTATAAACTCTAATTATACCGTTTAAAAAATAATTCAATTAGGGGGTTTCAAAGTTAACAAATGAGTGACGCATTTTGAAATTAAATGAGAGTTTGAAAAATCTTATTTATATTTCAAAATTTTAAATCGGAAAATGAAATGAGAGTGTGTGGCCCATTTAACGAAATAAATAGACTTTTCAACGACAAAAATCATCATTTCAAATTTATCGGAAAAAATGAAATAAAGTTGATACACCGCTCATTTGAAAGTAAGCTTGTAACTAATTTCAATTGAAATTAGATTTCCGCATTTTAACTCTATTAATAAAATTTAAGGATATGCAGTCATAATTGTTGATTTGCATAGTAAAAAAAAAAAAAATCCGTTGTTTAGTATTTTTATCACACATGCTAAACCGGTTTAAATAATTTTTAAATTATGTAGATTGCTGACTTTATGCAAATAATATACCATAAATGTTAGAATTTAATAATGTACTACAGAAGTTAAAATTTTTTAAAAAGTTGCCACGCTCTTTTCATAAAAACTTTAAATTTTAAACATGCTAGATTGTGAAGAAAGTACCTTGTGCCACCTTTTCTCTAAAATTTATAAAAGAGTTGTAATCTTTCCTTATAAAAGGATAGAGCCATCTGATTAATAAATATTAATAAATATTATCTTTAGTAAGGTCAATAAACGAAGTTCCAAAATTCTAAAATAAACTTTCTATACTAAAAATTGTGTTACAATTCGTTTTGACTTCATTATATTTCACCTTATAATTTTTGTGTATGGTGTAATTTTTTAAATGAACCTAGATATAACTAAGAGACTCTTTCAACATTAATATACTTTTAACCTCACCTATTTGATTATTTATAATGACCGTGAAGCGCATTTTAAATTTTTTACTACCTCTACTAATTTTGACCGTTTATAAGTCTGTCACAGTTAGCACTAACGAAGATTTCGTGACTCGTTCTATAAAACCGATCGAAAACAAAACATGGGAAAATTGGAATGGAAAAATTCATATTTCACCAAATGCCATTTTTGAACCGTCTACGCTTGAAGACCTTATAGATATTGTAAAACTAGCAAAGACAAATAATAAAACTATTCGATGCGCTGCCCAAGGGCATACAGAAAGTTCCCTATCTGTCACAAAAAACTATCTAGTAGTAGTTACAAATTTAAATCATATTACTGTGCAAAAACATCCAAAATATGGCTGGACTGTTACTGCCGAAGCAGGTAAATGTTTATATATATACAGTCAAACCTTCCTAAGTACTTTATGACTATATATTTATTCATGGTAAAGATAACATGAGATACTGTATTATTTAATTAAAAATAGGTACATCACTATCTGATC